CAGCTCCATCATCCTCCTCTCCCTGCTGGACCCCAGACTCCAGATGCCCATGTACTTCTTCCTGGACAACCTCTCTCTACTGGACCTCTGTATCACCTGCACCGTTCTGCCTCAGCTGCTGGTCAACCTTTGGGGACCAGATAAGGCAATTGCTGCCTGGGGATGTATCACACAGGTCTATCTTTTCAGCTGGACAGGGTGCACTGAATGTATCCTGCTGACCATGATGGCCGTTGATCGCTATGTGGCCATCTGCCGGCCCCTCCAGTACACTCTCATCATGCGTCCCTGGGTTTGTGCACAGATGGCAGCCGCCTCCTGGTTGAGTGCCCTGGCTACTTCTCTGCTCCATGCCACACTCACAATCCAGCTCCCCCTCTGTGGGCAGCACACCCTGGACCACTTCTTCTGTGAGATACCTGTGCTCATCAAGCTGGCCTGTGGGGACACCACAGCTAATGAGCTGGCCCTGGCTTTAGGAGCCATCCCATTTGTAATGGTGGCTCCCCTGCTGGTGCTCATCTCCTACATCTTCATTTCCAGGGCTGTACTGAAACTGCCTTCAGCTGAAGGAAGACACAAGGCACTCAGCACCTGCAGTTCCCACTTGCTGGTGGTCACCATGTTCTTTGGTCCTTCCATCTACATGTACCTCCAGCCCCCAGCCAAGAGCACACAGGCCAAGTTCATGTCCTTCTTCTACTGCATTATCACCCCAGTGCTCAACCCACTCATCTACACCCTGAGAAACAAGGATGTGGAAACAGCTTGGAAGAGGATCCTGCAATCCCTGGGCCAGGTGAAGTCTTGGAAAGTCAGAAGATCCCTGCCTGTATCCTGAGCAACTACATGCACACATCCATGAATACTGGCATATTCTGTCTGCTTTTCCAAACAAGTATCTATAACTTCAAAGAAAAGGATTCCCTTCTCCAAAAATTAATTAATCTAATAACTTGAGAAAAATTTTGGTAAGAAACTTGTCCTCTGAAATCATCAATAGAGTAATTGTGCTTTTTCTCAATCTGCCCTACATTTTGTATGAAATAGACACAGTAGGCAGCATGGTCCATTCATCTGTAGAGATACCTGCACATTATTGGTGATTTCCACACTATTCTCAAATAGCCAAGTTGTGGAATAAAACTAAGTACCTATCAATGAATGAAGCCAAATTAAAATGTAGTATGTGTATGAAAAGGAATATTATTTTGTCCCACAAAAACAAATTCTTCCATCTGATAGCATGTATAGGATTGAAGAATATTGTAGTAAATGAAATAAGTTAAACACAGAAAGATAAAAATTACCTGTTCTCATTTCTACATGGAGTATAAACAATTAACTCTTTAAAACTAGGTTGCTATTTGGGAAGATGAAGATATAATCATTAGAGAGTAATGTCCATGGCACACCATGTTTTTGGTTTAATACATTTTTATAAAAATCTGAACTTGAATGATAGGTAAATTGAATTTCATAAAAATTGTCCCAACTAACTACATGAGCAGCTCCAGTCCTCATTTGCAAATGAAGCAGGCTTATCAAATATATTTTTCATTTGAAAGAACCTCTGTACTTTTTAATCAAATGTCTTAACCATGCATTCCTATGACATCTCTCTCATGTTTGGATGGTAATAATAAGGCTGATATTAACAAAGAGGTGAGGAGCAAAGGGGAGGTGGTGGCTGCAGTTGATGGATGTGGAAGCATGAGAGGGACGCATCCTGGGTTTCAGCATGTTCATCTCTGCAGGGACCAGGCCATGCCCCCTACAGTATCTCACTCCTAAGCCCTCTGCACTTTCAGTGCTGTTTGCCACACATGATGCCTTTTCCTAGTCTCCTGCCTTTTTCTAGTCTCCTGCCTTTTCCAGGGGAGTTTTTGCCACACAGCAATGCTCTTTAGTATAGTTGCTGCTAAAGAAAGCACAGCAGTGCTCTTTAGTAATAGTCACAGTAGGAAAAGGCTTGTTTATTGTGAAGTGGAATTGAGTTTGTAAAACATGAGTAGAGCAGAGAAACTTGCTGGCAACTGATCCCCATGTTCTCAGGCAGATCTACTTCAAAAACACACTGGTTCATTTTACTGGCAGCAGAACTTCCAGTAGCAGCCACAGGAAACAGACTGCTGGCTCCAGCTAGGTCCCTGAGAAGGTGAGTTTGGCACCAATCCAAGCCATCAGACCCACTACAAGGACAGTGGGCAGAGCAGCAAGATGCTCCAGCACACTGACTACAGGATGTGATCCACTCTGCAAGGCCGGCTCTTCACTGGTAACTGCCAAGATGTCAACAAGCACGCAAATTTGTTCCTGTGTGACTTTGACAATTTCAGGAAGATCAAGCCAAAGGACTCTAAACAAGCAGAAAGGGAGGAGAAACCAGTCCTTAGTCTGTTGCTGCTGTGAGGGGAGAACCTGGTCTTGATGACAGTAGAAGGGCCTCTTCCCAAAGGTACTGGCATTGTCTGAGTACCCTTGCTGGAGCTACTGTGGCCCAGGAATCAGTAGAGCTGGTGGTAGAGGCATCCTGGCTAGGGTTCCCATACCACAGAATCCTTCAGGATTTGCTGGGCCAGTCCATGGGGGGGGTGGGCCATCCCAACAGGTGATGACCCCACAAAGAAGAGGCACTGTGCCTTTCACAAGGATGTAGTGACCGTCTTTGTCTCTCTTAATTAGTTTTGGTTTGAAATCTACTTTGTCTGCAAATAAGATTGCTACACCTGCGTTTTTCTGGGTTCCTGTCAAGTGGAGAACTGTTTTCCATCCTTTTACTTTCAGTCTATGAATTTCTTTTGAGTTAAGTGTGTTTCTTGTATACAGCATATTGCTGGATTTTGCTTCTTAATCCATTCTGTCAGTCTATTTCTTTTGATTGGTGAATTGAGGCCATAAACATTGATAGTTATATTTGAGAGATATTGACTCATCTTTGTCATGATGTTTTTCTGTCGTTGGCTCTTTTATTTCTTATTTTCCCCCTTTCACTTTAGTGTCTGACCTTGTGTGGTGCCTTCTCTCTGCTGGGCCTCATGGAGTTGTGACCTTCATTGTCTTTTTCTAGGATATTGCTTAAAATTGTTTGGAGTGCTGGTTTGGTGCTCACGAAGTTTCTCAGGTGTTCTTCATCATGAAAGTATCCAATTTCCCAATCGATTTTGAAAGATAATTTTGCCGGATATAGCAGTCTAGGTTGGAAGTTACTTTCTTTTAGGGCTTGAAATACTTCACTCCCGTCTATCCTTGATTTCAGTGTTTGTGTTGAGAAATCTGCCATGATTCTGATGGACTTTCCTTTGTAGGTGATTTGTTTCTTTTCTCTAACTGCCTGTAGAATCTTGTTCTTCTGTTGGGTTTCTGGGATCTTGATTTTACATGTCTAGGTATAGATTTTTTGGGTCATGGCTGGTTGGAGTTCTATATGCCTCACTTATCTGTATGTCCAATTCTCTACCTCTGTCTGGGAAGTTTTCTGCTATTACTTCTGTGAACAGTTTTTTTTATGTCAGTTGTACTTTCTCCTGTTTATTCATGGACTCTTATGTGTCTTATGTTATTCTTCTTTGCATCATCTAGCAGCTGTTGGATTGATTTCTCATGGTCCCTTGCTAACTTCAAAAAATGTCTGTTTTCATGGTCCTTCACCACAATCCTGTCTTCTATATCTGATATTCTGTCTTCAGATTCTCTTAGTCTGATATGGTTTTTCTATAAAATGGAGTACTACTCTGCCATAAAGAATGAGGAACTAGAGACCTTTATAGCTAAGTGGGTGCACATTGAGGCGATACTCTTAAGTGAAATAAATAGGACACACATGTGTAAATACCGAATAGTTTCTCTAGTGTGAGAAATTGAAAGTGTAAATAAGGATGAAAATGATTAAAATGAATAATTGATAATTTGAAATAAGAAAAGGTGCAAGCATTAGGGGATGGTGGGAGGGGAAGGGGAAAGGGAAGAAGGGAAAGGAAATGTTATGAGAGAGAAAAACAATGGAATCAAACTCTGTGTAAATATGGAATGGTGGAGGGGGTAAAGGGTGCACAGATAATGGGAGAAAAAATAAAAATTAAGATACATCATGTTCTGGTACAAATACCCAATGATAAATGTATTTTACACCTAAAATGTAAATATGTATATATAAATTTAAAAAAGAAGAGGCACTGTGGCAGCTGTGGCAGCTGCTGCCACAGCTAGAATTATAGGGGGTCAACCTAACACCCAACTGGTTATGGGTGTTCTCTTCCACCTATGGGCCAATGGGCACCCCCTCCAGCCATGAGGGGCCCTCCTTCTGGCATGCAGCCAACAATGGATCCTCCAATAAGGGTCCTTCCTGGACTAGGGGCTCCTATGGGCATGCCACCTCCAGGAATGCAGAACTTTTCTGCATGTAAGGCCTTTGTCCTTGGCCACAGAATTATGGAAGTAGCATCACAGGAGCATGGGCCCATATGCAAGACACATTCTGTCATATAAAGCAATGTGGATAGAACTTGTCCTAGTTACCTTATTGCTGAGGCAAAATACCTGAGACCCAAAGATAAAGGAGGAAAACTAGCTTGCAGTTTGTAGAGGTTTTAGTCCATAATCAGCTGGCTAAAGGCAGAGTGGTTTTGCAGAGGAGAAACAGTTCATGGTGGCCAGAAGGTAGCAAGCAAGCAAGAGGAAAAACAAGCCTCTTTCTCTCCCTTATGCTGTATCCAGGCTACCAGGATTAGGGCAGTGCCAAACCAATTATTATTCAGTAATCATACACCTTTAATCCTGGTGTCACATACTCTAGATCCAGCCACCTCTGGAAAAAGCCCCACTTATGACTGCATTAGGTTTTGAGGGGATGCATAGACCCAAACCATAACAGAACTGAAAATCCTACTAGAGGACATAAACCAGACATATAAAGGTACACAAGATTCAACACGTAATAGGAATCTAACAAAGCTGAGCTCAAAGTACTGGTGAGCAGAATAGTGGTTCCTGGAGGGGGAGACCAAGATGAAGAAGAGGAAAAATTGCTCAAAAGACACAAACTCACAGCCCACAGGAGGAAAAAATGCTGTGTCACACAACACAGATGTGGACTACAGTTAACGCTATTGTATAATACATTCAAAATAGCTAAAGAGAAGGTGCAGAGGTTCTCTGCCTGTGAAAAGCCACCAGGCCTAGTTGTACACTCCTATAATCCCAAAAATTGGGTGGCTGAAGCAGGAGGATCATTGTGAATTGAAGGCCAGCCTGGGCAACACAGTGAGGCCAAGGCCAGCCCAAACTACACAGTGAGACTTTGTTTCAAAGAAGTTAAAACCAAAGAGTAAAGACTGTGGTAAATGTTCGCTCTGATCAAGGACCTAAGGATCCTATGTTAACCAACACCCAAGTTACAAATGTAATGTATAATATGGTATGTCATAAAGAAGTACAGCTACACTTGTTAATAAAAACATTTCAATAAGAATTGTGGTCTATATGATGTTTAAAATATGGGGCTGAGGTTTTTGTGTCTTAATTATAAGTAATATAAGTAATATACAACAGAGTAAAAACATAATTGCATTTGTAATACTTCTGGAGGCAGGCTTCCATTCCCTCCTAAAAATGATCAAGGGATTTTAATGTTTTAGGGATACAGTGTAATTGCAATATCATAAAAACTTAATCCTAAACGTAAGAAAGTCCAGACTCACCCCACCTCTGAGCAAGGAGTGACCAGACTGGTGAGGAACTCAGGGTGTGGAGCTGGGGCTGCAGCCCTGCCCCCACCCTGCCTCCAATCAATGAGTGGAGCCGTGCAGGTGCCTGCAGCACCACCCCAGCCCAGCTTCT